ATTGAGGCTCTCATAGGAAGAATCACTCATGAAAAAGTCGAGTTTGCAGCTATATGATGAAAGTTTTTTGCTATCACTTTCAGATCGAGTGCAGGGATCTGGTGAGCCCGGATCAGAGCAGTCGCTGTCGTCACAGAATCAGGCTGGTATGCCAACTGAAAATATGTTTACCACCAGTAAGGACGAAGACAAAAAATTCGAGGTTAGTAAGTAGTTTGTAATTATAAACTGACGACTGAAGGTAGATCTGCCATGCTTTGACGATTGGATAAAAGTGGTTGTGTTAGACTAGTGCAATTGTGCAAGGATAAAACTTTTGTGTATTTAGCATCGGACTTGAATGCCTAGAATCCTAGTTACATTTCCCAAAGCACTTCCAAGCACTTCTATGATGCATATATGTGAAACCCAAATACATGGCGCAATCCTTTTTCATTCGTCGTAACCTTCAGAACAGGATTATACCGCTTTCAATTTTGGAATTTGCGCTTGATAAAGAATGGTTTTCTTCAAGGTATTCCCAGAAGCGGCTATGAAGAGTGGTCCCATCTATAGAACAGCTCCGAAATACGAGGCGTAAGTTCATTTTTATGATTGTTCGAGGTAATCGGTATCTCTTTGTTCGGTTTCTCGCTTTTTTTTCTGAATATTTTTCATTGCTATTCTTTTTGGCAAGCAAGTTTGCCCCTTGCCGCACATCAATGAGTAGCAGTATTTCCTTCCACTGTTTTCGATAAACTGAGTACAATAATCTTAAAGTAAGATTACCCTTGGATCGCACATTTGTTTGGCTCATTCTATAAAGTTTTCAGGTTGCGAGCCTGTGAAGCGATACTAATGCAACACAGCTTTTTTCAGTGGTGCCTATCGATTCCATGCGATTACTGGCCAAGTACTCCACCAACGGCTTCAGACTTGTCGAGATTTACAACAGCAAAATATAAGTACGTGCTTTTTTTTACTACAAATGTGGAATCATTAATCAATAACTGGTCATATGTTCAAATTTTAAATTTTAGCTCTTCTGGATTGAGTAGGGACAGGACAAGTTTTCTACTACGTTACATCCTCAGTACAATGATTTCAGTCAATCTCCAGCCTTTACAATCACAACTCACCGAAGCTTATGGGCTCAGTCAGTGTCCTGATAATCCAGCAGCGATTATCTCTGAATGTGGTGATTCCGTACCGTGCCAGTATGACTACACTACACTCAATGCAAAGGTAATTTGATCATATTATTTTTGAAATACTACGGTTACTAGTGAAAAGGAAATGCCTTAGACCTTGGACCTTTCTTCGTATTGTCCTGGAACTGTGGTCTTTTTACCAGTTCTACAGAACTATCATGGTCTATAGTCACTATGTACTCATCATCTCATTTCCATCGCAGTAGGGGTTCCACCCTTTTGAATCCTGTCCCTATGAAGATTAGGGAGTTTGTAATCGGTGCACCTGATTTGGAATTAATCGATCGATCGCCACAGCTCCTTCACACCAAGCGGCACAAAACAGGAATTTTTTCAGGCTCCTCCCAAATTATACATTACATTATACAAAATAGTAATTTCGGGAGTATGGACTACCATAGCTGATTGATGGGAATTACAGAGTTTCTCCAATCACTGTCTGCTAACACTAAAAAAATTAGGTTTCAATTAGGTTAAGAGACTTTGACCACCGGAACAGCTCTGCGGGAGGTACTGTACACAGGAAACGGCGGGTGTTTGAATTTTCTTGGCGTTGAACTAAGGTGGATAAGATTGGGAAGTTCTTCAAAACCAACGAGGAAAATGGGCCAGAAGCTTTACCAGGAAGGAGAATATCACAATGGGATGATCTAGGAAGAGAAGGTTGCGGTTTGACGGCTCTAACCGAGCTCATCCATCTTCTGAAGCATTTTTATACAACTGGGAGAGGTATACTATTATAATATGTGATGGGACGTGAAATGGGCAACACTATCACTTTCGTGATGGAACCCACAACCCGTGAGAGATGAGGCGCGTTGCTTGCAAAATCGCTGATTGCTAAGTGTGGTCAAGTCGAACTTAGATATTGTTTTTTGTTTATATTGTCCAATCCTTATTCCAAAGGTGATGGGTGTGAAGATCAAGGAAGAATGGAACGTGTTCACCACAGAGCGGATCGACGCGACAAGATTCTGTAAGTATTAACAGCCTTTGTTGATGTTACCTTATTACCCTCCTCAGTACGTAGTTCAAATCTCAAAGTGAATAGCGGGAACCAGGACTACCGTCCTCTTAGATGGATTCGGCGACTAGCCCCTCTTTCCTAGCTCACTTTACCCAAACCCATTCTGCGTTCTCCGATGAATCCCGTTATAATGAAGAAAATTGATGCGGGTTTTTATGTCGGTCAAATGAGTCCACTTGAAAGAGCTTTATAGCGGGAACCAGGACTACCGTCCTCTTAGATGGATTCGGCGACTAGCCCCTCTTTCCTAGCTCACTTTACCCAAACCCATTCTGCGTTCTCCGATGAATCCCGTTATAATGAAGAAAATTGATGCGGGTTTTTATGTCGGTCAAATGAGTCCACTTGAAAGAGCTTTCATTTGCCCCTAGAATGAATAAGCCAGTTATTTAATGCCCGAAAGTCACTTTTTTCAGATAACAGTTGCGGACCAATCAATATTGAATATCCGGAATACTTGACGAAAACGTCGTCAATGTATTCGGCCTACATGCAAGGAGATGTGGCGCGATTTGAATGTGTTCAATCACACTGGATTAAAGGTGTCAACGAATACAAATGTGAGCCCTTATTCATATAGAACCTTCAAAAGCTCGAATTGCCTGTTTGAAGAAAAGAAGCGTTGGTTCCCCGTCAATTTCAATCTTCTGATTTTAGGCGGAATCGTCGTTGACTACAATCGTCCGAATGAGTATCGCTTTGAATGGAACAAAGGCGAACAACCATGGTGTCGATCACGTGAAAAAGAAAACTTCTTCATTTGGCTCAGTGCCATCTTAGGAACGATTGCTATAATTATGGTGAGTATTTGGAAATGATGGAAAATGGAAGGGTACGAGAGGTCCTCAAGAAAAATCGTTAGTCATGGGGATGTGTGCACCAGTAGAATGGCTCGAATGCAGCAGCTCGTCCAGAATTTATGGACGTAGCTCCCACTCAATTTTCTAATATTGGATGGTAGTCCTCACCATTCGTAGCTCTACCTTTCTGTACTGTTTTATCTTTTTTGTTTTATATTCCTGTTTACTATTTATATCAATTATTTGTTTGTTTCTGATTAAATTGATCTGAACCTCTTGCAATGCTATTGCTATGTAAGAATGATAGAGATCAACGAAAACCAGAAGTTCATACTAGTGAATCTCTTCACTGTCATCAACAAAACAAAATTCGAATGATCTGGTAATCATACCTTTTTATAGGCTATCATTTTCATCTTTCTATGTTGCTGGTGTGTAAAGCAACAGAGGATTGAGGAAAAACGAGGTACCGTCTACGGTAATGGAAACAGCCGATCGACGTCGTTCACGCGTAGGAAATTCGGACCTCCGGTTTGTGTCGCTCACTGATTTTTTATTTATCATGAACGTTTGTTATACTTCGAAAGGATAATTAGAATCCAGCGAAGGTAACCATGTGATATTCCAGTCTTTCGAGTCGGAACCGTTACAAGAGAAGCCTCGGTACACTGATGTGCTGGGAAGGGAAAGCAGTTCCTATCGTGAGAGTTCGCCGCTCGTTAAGACCAGCTACAGGTATTGTGATCTTTTTCTGATTTCTCTATTCATTTTCAGACTTGTTTTGCTTTTATCCCAGTCCCCTCCTGCATCTTATATCGGAGATGTTTACATATACCGTATATATTATTCGGAGAACAAGCATGGCGCAACCCCAATCGCCATTTCATTTCTTTATATTTTTGTGTTTATTTGAGTGTATATTTTATTTACAGGATAGAAGAACATTTACCGATGCCGTCACATATCTCAACACCGGAATCTGCGGTCCTACGGCCGGGCAGTAATTTACAGGGCTACAACACCTCTGTTTAGCCAAACGTCAAGCATCTTCGTGCCTTCTTTCTTCTCGTTCTGCCATTCGTCGATAATCTCCTCAATTCTGTGTCTTTTCTTGTTGTCATTTCGCGTTTTCATTATCGTTATTTCTTCATCGTCAGTTCCACGTTTATACCTCAGATACTCTGGTTTCAACCATAAAAGCATCGCTTAGCGTCTTTTGGCGGTCGGTGACCCATCTATTGATTGATAATTTGACGGCGCTTAGTTCTAATGGATTTCACACACAGGGTGTATGAAAGTTTTTATTTCGGCCACTAACTTGGAAAGAAATTGCGCCGCAGAAGTTTTTGAGTTTGCTAAGTCTGCCAGTTTCATTTCTACTTATCCTATCTCTTTCACTTTTTGTACATTTCATGACCGATGACTATGACATTTTGTGATAAAAGTTTGTTGATTATATGTATACGATAAAATTATTCAAATAGATTCTGCGAGTCCAATAGGAACAGGGCGTAGGCGGTGTAGTGGCGAGTGGCGCTCTACCAGACTCATGCTCCGAAGATCGGGATAGACACCCGCCAAGAACGACCATGCCTGCCTTTCTAGTGGTNCCTCTTGCAATGCTATTGCTATGTAAGAATGATAGAGATTAACGAAAACTAGAAGTTCATACTACTGAATCTCTTCACTGTCATCAACAGAACAACATTCGAGTGATCTGGTAATCATACCTTTTTATAGGCTATCATTTT